CTCCTTGTAATCGCATTTCATCCGCGATCTCTCCGTTCTCATCACATTAGTGTGACCTGCCACCACTTCGTACGAAGCATCTGTTGCGCTGGTCAGCGCTTGTCGACTGGAATTGGACTCTGAGAGATGCCCCCATGCCCACGGGAGACGACAAAAAGCCGCGTCCGATCCCAACCATCCGTTTGGGCAGATCTCAGTCCGCATCACCGCGGACGCCTTTGTTGAAGCCTAAGGCGGCTAGTGCCATTCCAAGGGCAAAGAGTGACGAATCCATCAATACAATCCCCGGTCCTTCACAGAGGCAGACTCGCCCCGTTGCCAAAATGGCTCAAAGTGCGGTCGAAGTGGCGCTGAAAAAGTTCATCGCCACAACAGATCGAATTAACCAATTTGAGGCTAACATAAACACTCCGGGCGCCAGAGAAACGGAAATAGGCTCCCAATACATGTGCGAAGTCCATCGGGACCAAATTCGGGCACTATGGGAGAAGGTGGAGAAGAGCTATGAGAGCTGCTCCGATTTGCTAGCCGTGTCAGACGACAATGCGGCCTGGAAAAGGGCTGGAATCGAAGTACAGCTACTGTTACTCCGTCTATTCGAGGTGTATTGCCCAGCTTCGGGAGAAAATTGCTTCCCAATCCATTCAGGCTTCCGAGAATGTACACACGCCCGCGTCTACAGGATGCCGGTTACCTCCGGTGGATACCGAGGTCCTCGTGGGTGATTATCTTCGGTGGCCCACCTTCAGAGACTTGTTTACGGCCATTTACATCCAAAACTCGCGGCTTACCCTGGTAGAGAAGTTGTTCCACTTATTGTCCAAAACAAGTGGTGACGCCCACGCTATTGTTTCTAAAGCTCCGCTTACCCATGAGGGGTTTGTCGCAGCGTGGCAAAGCCTCACATACCGCTTTGAGAACCGGTAGATATTAGTCAACAGCCAGTTGAAGATCCTTTTCAACATCCAGGCTATTTCTCAAGAGTCCGGGGTCGCGCTGAAGGAGCTGCAAGTCACCATTCAAAGTTGTCTGACAGCCCCAGGAATTTTTTTATTAATGTTGGGGCTTGGGACTGTCTCCTGGTATTAATGATTTCGTCAAAGCTCCTCAAAGTCACACTTTCTATGTGGGAGCAATCCGTAAGGCCGAAATTCCAACATTGAAGGAATTAGATAACTTCCTGACAGAGCGCCATCGCACTCTGGAGGCCATCGACGACGTCAGATTTCGTGCAATTTCCGCCAAGGTCGGGACTTCCAACTACCCCTGCTCGGCGGCTCACTTCATACGAGACTCGAGTGGTTCCGGGCCAAAAGGGCTGCGATCTCTGTTCGAGGGAGGAACACCCCATTCGCTTATGTCCGCGTTTCCTAGAAATGGACGTAAATGGGCGCTCTGACTACATAAGGAGGAAGCAGTCTGAAGCAGAGGAACCCCCGCGGCGTGTCTGTTTTTTCCTCACGAGTTGCCCGCAGCCTCGGTGACTTACTGGATCAGGGAGAGGTGCCCACACGGATCAGTTCGGAATCGGACTCAGGTTGCGAGCACAATACTCTCTCTAGAGTTTCCTTAATTTACGCATCGCATCACGCTGCACGGTGGCAATCAGCTGATGATCCGTCTGATCCGGGCCAAATTCTGGATTCCAAGGTCATATTCACCACGACGTCGCCACGCCAACGCATCGCCCAATCGCTGGAGAGCAGATGTACTCGAGGTATTCAATCCTACCGTTGCCGAGTCTGCAATGGAATCCACGCCTTGAAGAAGTGTCGGCGCTTCCTACGCCTTGGTGCCGAGAAGCGGCTCCGAGCGGTTCTCGTGAACCGGTATTGCTCGAGCTGCCTGGCCCACGAGCACTCCGACGGATCCTGTCGGCGTGGTGACGGCTGTAAGACGTGTGGTCAGGAGCACCACACGCTGCTGCAACTCGTGGAGAAGCCGCAAGCTCGGCGCAAGGTATGCCAAGAGGAGCACCGGTCACGAAGCGCGGGAGACAGGACACGGAGTGTCTCGTCTGGCGCCCGGCTGTCATCCGCCAACTCCCGACGCGGTTCGGGTGCTTCTCGGCCTGCGTTCGCCACTTTCCGGCATTCCCAACCCGATCCACGGCCACCAACTTCCCGGCACTCTTCGATAACTCCTCGGCATTCTTCCGCCACTGGCCGGCAGCCGTCAAGTGCTCCACGGCTTTCTTCCGCCACTCATCGGGTGCCGTCCACCGCTCGTCCGCCCGCGTCATCCGCGCCTAGGCAATTTTCCGCCTCTCCTCGAGGGCCCCTGCAGGACGCGGTTGCTGCGCCCACCCTATCGTCGCTGCTGAAGCGGAACCGCGTCAACACCGGGATCCGGATCTTCGATACGGGGGCCTTCATCGACCCGTGTACGCCCTCGAGCTGCAGTGACGCATCGCTAATCGTTGGGCCGCTGAACTTAAGAGCGCATCCGCGCTGAAGAGCGCACCCGCACTGAAGAGCTCATCTCGTCGGCCGTCATCGATCGTCCGTTTTTTTCTAAGTTAAGTTTTATCCTCTGTAAGCAGCCCAATAAAGCTGAACGCGATTCTTTTTGAATTAACTGAAGACGCCCCCGACTTCTCATTTCATCTACTCCTGAAATCTTTTGCGGCAGCAACGCCCGCCTACAAACAGCTTGAATAACAAAAAAAGTTTCAAAAATTGCTAAAAAAAAAACTTGGAAACTGTCAACAAAAATGTTAAATTATCAAAATTTTTATTTCCGTATGTAATTAAGAAAATCAAGCTAAATATGGCTTTTAAAAACATAAAATATATTTCTATATAGAAGGAACATTTCAATTAACATAAACTTTTTTAAATACTATATTATATTAAATTCACATGATTATATGATTTTAATCAAGTATTTCTAAGAAAGAGTGTCATTACAACAGCATTATTTGTGTCTGCGTAGTCCGTACCTGTTAAAAAATATGCAGTTTATTTTGTGCAATTGGCAATTCTATTAAATTGATTTTATATAAAACTTATAACAAAATGTTTGCGACAATCGCACCCACATGTTTGTGTGAGCAACGTGGTGGCGAATATCAAAAAGCTTGGCGCATATTCTATATTTACAAAAGTCACTCTGGGGATCTGAGGAATCCTTGCGAATCCACTCTTTAAATTCAGTATTCTGTAGTCACTGAAATCGCGGAAATTTTTTCTTATAAACTTTTGGCATCTTTTAAACCCGAAAAAAATGTAAAGATGACCAAACGTTCTCAAATTATTTATACACTGAGTGAAGTACCAGATTCGATATCTTTGTCAATTTTATTGATCGAAAATGGCTCTGTCAATGCAAAATTGTGTAAACATTATGAGTATTTTAAAGAAAATAAAACAATTGCTAAAGTTGCTAAAAAAAAATAAAAATTGCTAGATTTGTAGCCAGTATTGCCCAAACTCTTCATACGGCAGAGCAAACTCCCATACCAATGCAAAACTTCATCAAACATTGGTGCGAGAATTTTTTCCCCATCCATGTGGGTGCACTGAAAAATAAAATTATAGTAACATTCACAATTTTTTATACCCTTTCAGAGGGTATTATAATTTTGTCCAAAAGTGTGCAACGCAGTGAAGGAGACATCTCCGACCCTATAAAGTATATATATTCTTTATCAGGATCACCTCCTGAGTTGATATGAGCATGCCCGTCTGTCCGTCGGTTCGTCTGTCCGTCTGTATGTTTCTACGCGAACTAGTCTCTCAGTTTTAAAGCTATCGTCTTGAAACTTTGAACACACCCTTCTTTCCTTGGCACGCAGTATATAAGTCGGAACGGCCGGGATCGGCCAACTATATCCTATAGCTGCCATATTACTTATTGATCAGAAATGGTATAACTTTGGTGTTTTTAGAGATAGAGAGTTCAAATTTGACATGAGTTGTTTTTGGCAAAATAATACGACATGCCAAATTTCATAAGGATCGGCCGACTATATCTTATAGCTGCCATATAACTGATTGATCGGAAATGACCCAACTTTCGTGTTTTTGAAGATAGAAAGCTGGAATTAAATACAGATTCTATTTTTGGTCAGTTGATCCAACCTACCAAATTTCATAAGGATCGGCCGACTATATCCTATAGCTGCCATATATCTGAACGATCGGACTTTCGTGTTTTTGAAGATAGAAAGCTGGAACTTGGTACAGATTCTATTCTATATTCCGGTTTTAACTGCAAGGGTATATCAACTTCGGCTCCGCCCGAAGTTAGCTTTCCTTTCTTGTTTTTATATGGAGTTTGACAGCTGTCACTCGTTCGACAGCGGATTTTCGTCAACTCAGTACTATGCTTAAGATGTGAAATATTTTCGACTGCATTGCATGTGTCGCAAATAGCATTGTCAAAAACATTCATTTTTGATAAAGTGTACTTATCGAACGCATTTAATCGTTTTGTGTCTATACGGTCGAAAATATCCGTTTTATAAAACCAGGGTTTCTTGGTGATGAAAGGCCTAAAGTTTGAATAGCCTTTATTACGTTCCATAAAGAATACGTTATAGTCTCTTTCCCAATCATCTTGAATATAATGAAATATATAGTTGATCGCATCACTCAATGTCCATCTAACATAATTGAAGGAGCCGTGTATAGAAGCGTTCTTTGCTGCTTTATCACCAATTTCGTTTTCCCAAATATTTGCATGGCTGGGTATGTGGTGAACTACAACCTTTGCAAGCATAGGACAATTTTCGATTTTGGAGAATATTTCCAGGGCAATATAATTGCTGGAGCAGTTATTTTGTAGAGTTTGAATAGCGCCAAGGCTATCCGTCAGTATGGCTTTCTTCGAAAAGCAGTTGGAAATTGCAAAATCAATTGCTTTTTCCAAGGCTAGAAGTTCAGCGGTCATAGACGACAGCTTTTTGTTAGTAAAGAAACTATCAACAGTATTTTATTTGAAAAAATGCATAATTTGTAAAATTTTCCAAGACTGAACCGACCGTGTAAAAAATTTCCATGTGCAAGTTATTAAACGAATTCAATTTTTCGTTCAATAAAGTAAAAACAATGACTTCATTAGCTTGTATTTTGTTAACGCAGGTATCATTAAAAAAATTTGTGTCTATGGATAATTTGCGAGGGAAAATGTTTGTTTTTGATATTTTTTGATATTTTTTCCTTGGTCAATGAATTTTAAAGCAACGCGGATTGAACTTCTGTACCAAGTTGAGCAGTAGGATATGGGATTTTATGGATGGAACGCTTTATGGGAGTTCCATACATCCAATGGGTTGCTTTTCCACGCAGACACGCTGAAGTATAATTTTAGCTTCTTATTTTGTTCCGACAATAAGGAGCTGAAATTATATGACGGACACACACATAAAGCAAAGGGTATTAGATTGGGTATCCAATGTTGGAAAACATTGGGATTAATTTTGTATATCATAAAATAAAAGTTAAGTTTATACAATATATAAAAATATAATTAAATCATTATTTAGGAAACTTGTTTTTTATACCCTTGCAGAGGGTATTATAATTTTGGTCAAAAGTGTGCAACGCACTGAAGGAGACATCTCCGACCCATAGATATAGACATATACTTTATATATAAAGTATATATATTCTTGATCAGGATCACCTCCTGAGTTGATATGAGCATGTCCGTCTGTCCGTCTGTCTGTCCGTCTGTCTGTCTGTTTCTACGCGAACTAGTCTCTCACTTTTAAAGCTATCGTCTTGAAACTTTGCACACACCCTTCTTTCCTTTGCATGCAGTATATAAGTCGGAACGGCCGGGATCGGCCGACTATATCCTATAGCTGTCATATAACTGATTGATCGGAAATGGTATAACTCTGATGTTTTTAGAGTTAGAGGGTTCAAATTTTACACGAGAGCTATATTTGACAAAATAATACAACATGCCTAATTTCATAAGGATCGGCCGACTATATCCTATAGCTGCCATATAACTGATTGATCGGAAATGTTATAAATTTTGTGTTTTAGAGTTAGAGAGTTCGGATTTTGCAGGAATGCTATGTTTGGCAAAATAATACGACCTGCCAAATTTCATTAGGATCGGAAGACTTTATCCTCTAGCTGCCATATAACTGAATGATCGCAAATGACCCAATTTCGTGTTTTTGAAGATAGAAAGCTGGAACTTAATACAGATTATATATTGGTTCAGTTAATCCGACCTACCAAATTTCATAGCGATCGGCCGACTATATCTGATAGCTGTCATAAAACTGAACGATTGGAAATGGTGTTTGGTAAAAATACCAGCTTTTGTATTTTTGAAGACAGAAGCTTGGGTCTTTTTTTTAGATATTGTATTGTTATAGATTGGTTATATTATGATATTCTTATTATGTTCGGCCAACTACATCCGATTTTTGCCATTTATATCCGGTTTTAACTTTAAGGGTATATCATTTTCGGCTCCGCCCGAAGTTTATTTATTTATTTATTTCGCCAACGGACAAATCCTTACATGGCTACATAATAACAACTTACGAACTAATAAATAATACTACAAAACTAATAAAAACTTAATAAGTGCCTGATAAACATGCGTTTAAACACAACCTTATTAGAGCCCCCCTTAATTCGGAGGCTAGGCGGCAAAGAATTAAAATAAGAAAGAGCCCGCTCAATCCGCTCATTTAAAAGATAATTGGCACTTGGCCCCTGTGACACTTGACCCGAAAGGGGGCAAAGGTACGAAGATCCCTTCGTACGAAGAAGAATATTAAAATAAATGAGTCCCAATAAAAAAGGACAATCAATGTTATCAACGACTACATTGTTCAAAAAGGTTAAAGCTGCCAGTTTACACCGACCCTCCAACGTGCAAACATTCAGAAGAAGGCTGCGGCTCTGGTATGAAGGAACAGGATCCTGAAACCTTAGAGGCAGAAGAGAGTCTGAGCACCATGAGTAAACTCTGGATATATCCTCCTGTAAAAAGTAACTATCACTAATGCAGCTAATGGTTTTATAGATTTTAAGGTCATCCGCATACATTAAGAAGTAGGAATGACGAAGGCAAGACGATATGTCATTAATGAAAATAATAAATAGAAGGGATCCAAGAGAGCTGCCTTGAGGAAGACCAAAGGAGGTAACAAATGTACTAGAGATAGCGTTTCCAATAGAAACGTGGCAAGGTCGGTCAGCCAGATAAGACTCGAACCAACTTAATAGGCAAGAATGAATACCTAATTTATATAATTTGGCCAGAAGGGCAGCATGACTTTGTCGAAGGCTTTGGAGAAGTCAGTGTAAATGGCATCAACCTGAAATCGGTTTTCAAAAACTTCAAAACAGTGCTTAGAGAAGACCGCTAAATTAGTTGTAGTGGACCTCCCAGGCAAAAAACCATGCTGGTTGGGGGATATAAAATTACGAGCCAGAGTCAATTTTTTAGTTACTATCCGCTCCAGTATTTTAGCGACGTTGCAAATTTTTGCTAAAGGTCGATAGTTGGTAACATCAGACCTACTGCCACCTTTGTGAATAGGCGTTATAGAAGTAATCCTCTACCGGTGGGGGAATCTACCAGATGAGAGCGACAAGGAGAACAGCAGTTGAAGGGGAGTAAAAAGAGAAGCGATACTCCTCTTAAGAAAGAATGGGAAGATTCCGTCCACGTCAGGTGTGAGCGACTCGGTAAAATGTCTTGTGTGTCAACTAGGTCACAGTCCATGTTACTCACATTGAGAAAAGGCTCAATGCTAAGAAGAGTTTCATTATCGCTCCAAGGAACCTTCAGCTTCAAGTTAGAGGCAAAGTATTTTGCAAAAAAATCAGAAACGCCCTGATCCGAGTCGGCTGCTAAATTACCATAACATATGGATGAAGGTATGTCCGATTTTGACTTTTTGCTGTTAAAAACCGCCAAAAAGCTTTAGTATTGGATCGAAGGCTAGCTTCGACATCGGATATATACTGATTGTAGAGGAACTTATTAATCAAATTCACGCTTAAATATCCAATACAGCTCTCCTGCTCGAGACTCCCCTGTCATTATGAATCGTTTGTAATGCTTATCCCTTCTGTTCTTTAAGTTTTAAACCTTTTGTATACCAGGGAAGCCTATAGGATCTTCGTACCCTCACAGGGGCATACGTATCAATAATATTGGATATAATTTGGAATATTGAAATAATATATGGAATGGGTGAAGCAGAAGGCAAAAAACTATAAAACTCAATATGAATTACTAACGGCTTGTGGTGCATATCACATGGACTTAATGGTACATTGCACAATTCTACTTTACATTTAACCAAATTATTTAAAAATATAAGATTAAGATTTGGATAAATAATTAAAAATATTATTTACTTGGGAGAGGCCCAGACTAAAAATATCATCTAAAACTACAATTTTATGGCTCTTGTGATCGTTGCTAGGTAGCATGCAGGGAGATTTCGGGTCCCAAGACCAGACAACGGAGCTTAGGTTAAAATCGCCAGCTACCATCAAAGCGGTAGGGTCCGACGCTCTAGCACAGACACTAGTGATGTTTTCCATATGCGCATGATATATAATAAATGCGCTGTTCGGAGGAATGTATGATGCAATGATGACGAACGGGCCACGGACGCCCTGGATTGAAACCGCAAGCTGATCCAGTAGAGGGTAGGCCACCGGAAGGCGCAGTGGTGTAGCCTGAAGAGATCGACGGATAGCGATGATTACACCACCACCTCGCCCACACTGGGTACTGAATGCATCTCGGTCTTTTCGAAATACATGGTACAATTAGGCTCGAAGAACTCAAAGGAGCTAAATTAGTCATTGAGCCACGTTTCCACAAGGATGATTAAATCAAAATCGCAGGCAGATTGAGGAATACCATTTTGGATCTCATTCCCGATATATTTTATTGGGGTCCGAGGACGACGACAGCTACAGTCCAAACTGGGAATTGGACGGCAAGCGGGCAATGATGAAAGTGCACTCCTGGTACTGGTGCATGTGGAGGCATATCCAATACGCATAGCTTGCAAGATAGCCGACGAGGACACATATAAATTTCCATTAGACTCATCGGTATACCTGCGAGAGTCCAGTTGCAAGGAAAATCCAGTGCCAGGTGAAAACATTGAGCGTTTATAGTCAGGCATATCCAAACGCAGCAAAGATCTACTCACACGTCCAAAACGTAAATAAACATCTTCCATCGAAGATAAGAAATGACCAACTCGCCTTGAACAGAGTTGTTGTTGTTGAAGAATATCGATCAGCAAACGAAGCAAATTATTGGAGGAATGGAAGACAGCCGTTACCATTAACGCCCACGCCGTTTGTTGTTGGTAGCGCAGCAGAGAGCAATCGGGGTGACAACTTCAGCTTGAGAAGAATAAGAAGTAAAAGCGCCAGCGGTAGCGGTAAAGGTAGAATCGCCGGGAAGTCAATAACCTTAGCAGGCTCTCTATGAACAAACCGACTGACATTACCGACATAGGCCAAAAAACATCATTGAAGACTGTAGGGAAATGTTGCTCGGGAACTCCCAATTTAAAATTGACGAACTTGAGGGCGTTGATGTCAGCATCCTTTTTCATTAGCCTAGCACAGGCTAAATCATTGGGCTCCAGGTTCAGCTTATCTGCAAAAAACTTGCACAGTGCATCAGGTTGGGTAGACGTCGCGAATTCACCAACAGGAGTTTGGTGTCAGTAACTTCTGCTCTGCACTCGGTGCAAACGAGAGGCGACATGAGCGAAAAAGTAAACGTCCCAACTCAAAGAAAGCTAGATGCAGACTGAAAGAAAGTTAAGCTTTGCTTTCTTGTTTTTTTTATTTCTGGAATTTTCTCTTTGCGAGACTAACAAGAGGTGTATCAAATCTTATATTTTTAACTTAACTAACAGTCATATTAACTGATAAATCAAATCCTAAAAATCCGGCCCGAAAAATCGATTGCTTGGGTTGGGAGGTCGTCGCGTCTCAGGCGGGATACGCTAGAAACCCGAGTCAATCCCCGAGCGAGAAAATTTGGGTGCGAAGACAGTTTTCCTTTGTATGACTCTTTTTGCTTCTAAATTTCGTCTTTCACTGCGAGGATGCCCAGATCCCGGTGGATGTTTTCGTTGCGAACATACCAAGATGCCCCAGTGATAGGTGTCAAGATTTTTCATGGTGCGCGCTGTATGATGTCTATGTTGCTGCTGCTGCTTGCGTTCCCCCACAGCTGGGAGCCATACGTCCAGATTGGCTTTAGGACTGAATTGTACAGTAGTAACTTGTAGTCCAGGCACAGTGGCGATCGTTGTGCGTTCGATGGAATATTCGCAGTATACAAAACATATAGACACGGGCCGAGTGCGCTTCCTTGTGGAACTCCAGCTTCGATGGTGTAGTCGCCCGAAGTAGCTGCGTTGCATCTCACTGAGAATACCCTATTGTAGAGGTATGATTCCAGTAGCTTGTGGGTGTATAATGGCAAATACGTTTTAATTTTGTGCATGAGGCCGATGAGCCAAACTCGGTCGAAAGCTTGAGATACGTCGAGAAAAATAGCGCTGCAGTATTCTCGCTGTTCGAAGGTTGAGCGTATTTCGGATGTTAATCTGTCCACTTGTTCGATGATTCCGTGGTTTTTTCGGAAGCCAAATTGGTGTGCCGGAATAATATTGCAAGCTTCTAGGTGTGGTATTATGCGAGTTAACAAGCATTTTTCAAACAAATTAGACAAACAAGATAGAAGGCTTATTGGTCTGTATGATGACGGAATTGTGTGGTCTTTTCCAGGTTTCGGTATCATTATATTGATGGATTTCTTCCGCTTTTTTGGGAAATAGCCAAGATTTATGATTCCAATAAATAGTTTGCAGACGACCTCTAAGCGTTTTTTGGAAGTTCGATCAGCATCTTTGGGGTCAATAGGTTACAGCCGGGAGCCTTTTTTTGTTTTAGCCCTCTTATGACATTTTCGATTTCGTTCGGCCGCAATGAAGGTGCAGTTGGCTGAGGGATAAACTGTGGCTGAATTACCGGCAGGAGGAATGAATTTGAGGCAGAGTTTAGCTGGAAGACACTTTGGAGCACATTTTACTTGAGAAGATTTTAGCTGCCTCAACGAGTACTTTTTCCAGGGCGCTCGTAGTGTAGTCGATGTCCGATTTCATGTTAAACTCCGGGGCGAGTTCTATGTGGGCACTCACGCACTTTTTGTATTTTAGCCAGTTCGTTTTTGGCGTCATCAGGCTGAAGGGGTGTTCGGTTATTTCTGGACTTTAAAGAAGCGTTAGAAGCACAGGTGAGTGGCCTGATGATAAGTCCGAGACTGTTTTGGCACTTATTAGATTGCGAGGTATGTTTTTTGTCACTGCAAAATCAATAAGGTCTGGGAGCTTTCGTGAGTCTGTTGGCCAGTATGTGGGAGTATGTGTGGTGGAAACATAGTCCAGTTTATTTTTCACATTTATAATTGCATCGTACAATTGCCTTCCTTTGGGAGTCACTAGACGTGATCCCCAGTGCGTATGTTTGGTGTTGTAGTCTCCTGCGACTATAAAACGATCCCCAAGTGAATTGTAGAAGTCCATAAATTTTCCATCCGAGATTGTCCTTCCCGTTGCGTTTAAGTGGCTCTTCAACAGTGATTTTCCGATGCAAAAGATATTGCAGGTTGTAGATTGGGTGGACTTCGTTCTTCTTCAGCAACCTGCTTTCTGGCTCGTGCTCGACCTTGAAGAGGGGTGTGGCTTTTTATCTTTATTAAGAATGTTAATAACATTCTTGGCGGCGAAGCCCTTTTCTTTAAAGGCGGTTTTTTCTTCCGCGGCGGTAACATCTTGTTACCTTGTAGGTTACTTGTAGGCCCTTACTGCTTTTCAGCTGGTACGTGTAATAGTTTTTCTGTTCAATGTCCAGATATTTGGACACGATTCGGAAGTGCTCTTCAGTCTTGGTTTGCACCTTTGTTTCATGGATGTTCCCTTTGATAAGCGAAACAACATGAAAGTTGTCACCGTTCCCGATCAACAACGCAATTTTGTTGACCAGGGCACTCGAGCTTTTCTCCCTAATATAGATTGGAGGGGCTTGGGTTTTTTTGCGGTGTCTTGGGCTGGTTGGTTTTCCTCAACCTCCGCCAGTAGGACAAAATTCAGGACACGGTTAATTTTTGTTTTATTGCCTGGGCTAAGCTAGCGCCTAATTTAGATGTAGCGATCCATTCCAGTCTGTGTGGCCGTGGCCGCTTTGGAACTTTCCGAAGTTGTTGTTTTTGTACTCGCTGTAGTCGTTGACGTCGCGGTACTTTGAATTGCAGTGGTTGTCTCTGTGATTGCAGAAATTGTAGCACTTCTAGTTGTTGGTGCGAATTTTGTTTCCGATATGGAGGGGGGGTTTTACACTGCGAACTCCATGACGCGGGAGTCGGAGTGAGCAGAGCGGGTGAGCAATACCGTGCCCTTTGGGTTTCAGCGGTCAGTAAAGCCGGGTTGCTCTTAACCGCCGTTTTTCCACTTCGGTATCGCGGGTTAAAAAGTAAGAGTAGAAGGCGTTTCTTTGGTTCACTGAACTTCTACGCTCGTTCTTTTGATCGTTGCTCAATGAGCTCATTGCGTGGCACTTATTTTTTTAAAACAATGCACTAGTTTTGGTTTAGCACATCACAACTGTTATAAAAAGCTTGTCTATTGCTTTTAATAAATTGTAGTTTAGCGTCTTTTCGCTTATATTGGGTTGCCACAGTTTTTTTTTTTTTTTAGCTGTCTTATGTTGCTGTTTCCCCGGAGCTCAGGCAAGGCACGTCCGATCAGTTCGGTAGTTCCATGAATACTTGAAAACATTCACAATTGGTTTATAAATATTAATATATTAAAAAAAAAATTTATTACAGCAATTAAAAAAAGGCCCTACATTTTGTACAACAGCTTATTATTCTACTATAATAAATAATGCAGATCTTCTTACTTAAAAAAAATGTTCTGCGAAGAAGAAATTCATCGCTTCAGGTCGACCATTTTGACAGAAACAAAAACAAGAATGAATTTCTTGTAGTGAAAAGTTTTCGGCACTCCAACAACAAAACAGCATTCGGATTAGCACGATTGAGGAGAATAGGGAAAACACGAAAAATTGTTATTGTAATTGCCCTTTGCCTATGCTGGGACCAACGAAGCTTATGGCGTGAGCAGTCCTACACAGAGCAGCGAGAGTTATGGGATGAGCAACACTGTTTGTAGCTAATAGCAAATTAAAAAAAAAAAAGTTGCAAACTTTTAAAAAAGTTGCCAGAAATAGCAACTAAATTTCCAAACTGGCAGCACTGCTTGCATCAGTGTATAGTTGAATAAGATCAGGAATGAAAATTATTAATAGTGGGCCATTCACCAGCACTTAAATTATTTGTTGGCGTACTTACATATGTGCTCGTGTTCATCCTTCCAAGTGAAATCATTATTTTTGGATGTTTAAAAATAGATTAGTAAAAGGGGAGCACAAACAATGCGGCAAATATTAAGCGTGTGCATCGTAGTTGCAAGCCTTGCAGAAATACTTAGAACAATAAAGGAAAGCTAACTTCGGGCGGAGCCGAAGTTGATATACCCTTGCAGTTGAACCCGGATATATATCGCAAGAATCGGATATAGTTGGCCAATCCTTATGAGAATATGATAATATAACCCAATTTATTATAATACAAAATCTAAAAAAAGTCCTAAACTTGTTTCTTCAAAAATACCTAAGTTGATATTTTCAAAAACCATTTCCGATCGTTCAGTTATATGGCAGCTATAAGTTATAGTCGGCCGATCCTTATGAAATTTGGCATGTCGTATCATTTTCCAAAGATAGCGCTCGTGTAAATTTGAACTCTCTATCTCTAAAAACACCAAGCTTTTACCATTTCCGATCAATCAGTTATATTGCAGCTATAGGATATAGTGGGCCGATCCCGGCCATTCCGACTTATATACTGCGTGCAAAAGAAAGAAGGGTGTATGTAAAGTTTTAAGTCGATAGCTTCAAAACTGAGAGACTACTTTGCGTAGAAACAGACAGACGGACATGCTCATATCAACTCAGGTGATCCTGATCAAGAATATATATACTTTATAGGGTCGGAGATGTCTCCTTCACTGCGTTGCACACTTTTGGACAAAATTATAATACCCTCTGCAAGGGTATAAAAACTATACACAAGTTAAATTGTAGTTATCAAACTAAAATGTACATACATATGTACATATATTTTTTTTGTATGAAGAATAATATCAATTTTTACACACTTGAAAATTTTGAAGCTAAACGAACTTACGGCTTGTTATCCGGGACACAGTTACTCGACAGCCGGTTCCGGGGCAGGATCAGCCGGTACCTCTGCCTCCGGCTCAGGCGCCGAAGGTTGAGCCTCGGCAAGACCTTCCTCCTTGGGTGATTCGGGTGCAGCTTCCGGGGGTGGTGCCTCTGGAGCGGCTCCTTCAGCAGTAGGCTCGGCGGGGACTGCCGGTACCACCTCGGCCACGGCTGCTCCTTCTCCAGCAGCGGCTGCGGGCACTTCTCCTTCTCCTGCCGGCGCCGACACATCTGTCGAAACCGGCTCCACTGCAGCCGAAGTCGCTGCCGCAGCGTCTGGTTCCAACGGCTCCTGAGGCCCATGGGCCTCGCTCATCTTTTTGCTCTGTGGGGAAAAAAATATAGTTCATGATTTTTCTTTTACAAAGTTCATTTCTATTAAACTACTAAATTTTTTTATCAAACAAAAAATTCGTGTAAATAAATACATACTATACATACATATGTATGTATCCATACATATAGCAGAAGGCTTTATTTTTTTGATCAAAAGTGTGCAATCCGTTGTTCGCAGTGCATATGCTAAATATAGAGAGCAAGTTCCGCTCATTTCCGCAAACTGAGCTAAAAATTGCCAAATTTTCGGGTAAAGTCTGTCTAAAGAGAAAGAAATGAAAGCTTACTTCGGGCGGAGCCGAAGTTGATATACACTTGCAGTTAAAACAGGATATCACAAACATCGGCTGTAGTTAGCCGATCATTGTAAGAATTTTATAATATATATAGCCAATTCATTACAATACAAAATCTAAAAAAAGTCCTAAGATTCTATCTTCAAAAACACCAAAGTTGGTATTTTTCCCCAAAAAAAATACTTTTTCCAATCGTTCAGTTATATGGAAGCTATAGGATATAGTCGACCGATCCTTTTAAAATTTGGTAAGTCGCATTTTTTTGCCAATAATATAATCCATAGAAAATCTCCAATTCTCGAACGCTAAAAATACAAAAATTTTGACATTTTCGATCAATAAGTTCTATGGCAGTTATAGGATATAGTCGGCCGACTTATTATAACTTACTTTATTATTACTTACAATATACTGCTTGCAAAGGAAAGAAGGGTGTGTGTGCAATTTGAAACTGATAGCTCAAAACAGAGACTAGTTCGCATAGAAACAGACGGACGGAAATTTTCATATTAACTTAAGATTAAGAATATATACATCTTATAAGAAATGTCGCTTTCACTGCTTTGTACACTTTTGACCAAAATTACAATACCCTCTGCAAGGGTATAGTAATAACAAGAATGGAAAGCTAACTTCGGGTGGAGCCGAAGTTGATATACCCTTGCAGTTAAAAGCGGATTTATATATAGTTGGCTGATCCTTATGAGATCCTTATGTGAATGTGTGACACGCATACAAATAAAGATCAATCCAAGCGCAGACCAACCTTCTTAATCGCGCTCCTTTCAGAGACTGAGAAACAGAAAGCATTCAATGAGAATATGAGCGTAAGATGAACGAACAATTAGCGTTAGAGAAAGATTAAAATCTCGCTCTGGGGCCTGAACCCTCTGCAAGAGTGTAAAAAAAGGAAAGATATTTCAGGCGGGACCGAAGTTGATATGCAACTTGCAGTTAAGGGCCAGTTAATTCTTGAAGGCTATTTGAAGGCTTCTAGTTGTCGTTGCCTTACCTTTTTTCTCTTTTTTTCTGGCTCGACAACGACCTCTTCTTGAAGCTTGTAGTCTTCCGGGAAGAACCTAAGGGCCTCGTCTTTACCAACATTGACGTTGGGACTCACATAACTGGGTCCGTAGGAGACCAGCGAAAGCATCATGTTTGACTGAACCTTGTTTACCTTTAGGACGATCTTATCAGTCCTAGATGGGATGAAATGATAAAAGAAATATTAGTTTAACATGGAGATGTGTCACTTTCATAAGGCAAGAATACGAACGCCAGGTGGGGGCTACTCTCATATTTGTCAGTGGAATTTGCAATCAGTTCCGCATCCTCTGGATCACCGCTGGAGAAGTATCCGTAGAGCGGAACATCATCCTTGTGCCGATCGACAACGTGCATAATCTCCTTACGCTTTGTAGCGTCAAAGGCCATGATAACGTGAGGTGGGTCCGGCTTGGGATCTGGTGGTAGGAAGCCACTGGTCTGACCACGGAAGAACACATAGATGAGGGCGGCATGCGTGCGGCGATTGTTGGGCACCCATATTGGTGGAACTTTTACGGTTTTAATGCGGGTGAGTGGTTTCGGTGGCTCCTCCTCCTTAATTTCCTGTATTTCTTCTTCGTCCTCTGCAGCCTCGACGTCGTTGTCGATGTCCATATCGAAGGGCATGTCGGGGAACCCAGGGGGAGCATCGGCTACTGCTTCGGGAACCTCTTCTTCGCTGGCTTCTTCCTCTCCATCGAAATCGGCCGCCTCTTCTTCGGCGGGATGAGTCTCCTCTTGCACGACAGACTTGCTCTTTCCTTTTGCTTTAGCTTGGGCTAGTCTAAGCTCCTCCTCGGAGCTGACCTCTTCAACCCATACTTCACCTTCCTTTAATTCGACTTCAATTTTGAGCTTCATGGTGGCTATAATTGGAGGAATGACGTGTTCCTCGCCAAACTCCTCATTTGGCGGTCCTACTCTCTCCCTGGTCAACTCGTGAGCATACGCCATAAGCACGTTTGGCACTGTGCCAATGCTCTCGTCGATCTTCCAGAAGCACATGAGCAACTCTTTGCCGTCCAGCTGCTCAATTACATCCATAGGCAGGGGGTTCTTGCAGGCGAAATTGACGATCTCAAATTGATCCATGGACACTTGGATTACTCTACGGTCCTTGCACTGCATCTTGAGCGGCTCGGCGGGCTCTGTAAGTTTCTTAAACATATCGCGGTTTACTTGTGGACCAAACACTGTTACGCCAATATCAGGCATGTTTTCCATAATGGATTCTGTCACTTGGGTGAGGTAGTCCACCTGTTTCTTGTGCTTAGCCTCCCGTTCAATGCGATCCGCCCTTTCGATGGCCTCCATCTTAATCCTCTGCTGCTCCACTTCGATCGGTTGCAATTCGTCTAGTCGGTAAAACGCTTGCCGTGGAGTTTTCTGAAGTGTTTTTTCCAACTCCCTGGTCAGTAAGTTTAGCAGCTTTGGTACATCTGATCCGAACATTATGTTCACGGCCCTGCCGCCCTGTAAGTAAGTACGAAATCATAATCCAATGATGCGAGAAAGTTTTTGGGCTTACAGTCACAAATAGCCATGTGGGCTCACTCTTTTTATTAAATCGCTTCAGGGCCGTAATGTTGTCTGATTTACACTATGAGGAATTACAATTAGTAGTTTCTCGAAAGGAGTAATTGGCGCTGGAACTCACTATGGCCAGTTGCAGGTTGTCGCCACCCATCTCCAGCTTGATTTTGCGCAGGTTTCCTACCAGAGCCAAACACGGCCCACACCACTCCGAGTAGATATCGAGCACTGCAGGAATAGGAAAAGAGGCCAGGTAAATAAGTGAAGTAGGCAGCAAAATTGGACGAAAAGGGTCGATACCAAGGAGACCTGGTCGTTCAAGGAAGCGCTCGAGCTCCTCATCGCTCTGGATATCCGCTTGCAGTTGTTGCTGTCCTGCCTTTTTAGCCATTATGGAACTACGTAAGCGAGGAGTCCAAAAGTGTAAATTTGAACAGTTCGGCCAAAATTTTAAATGGATAAAATTTTGGGAAAAGAGAAACTGATTTTGTTTATTTTTTGTATGCCAAAAAGTTGTAAATTTTTTTCAATGAACTATTGATCAAACAAAATTTTCACCTTGGTTGCAACCTTTCCCCTAAGCAACCAGTATGAGAAAAAATATTTTTTGCAATATTAATAAATTAGTTAACCACACATTTATTTGACAGTAAGATTACCTTTTTTACAACTGGCGAACTCTTAAACATAGCATAACAAAATTTGATGGACTTTGAATAACTTTCTATAGGGTTCAAATAATTTAATGATACTAAAAGGCTCGAATGTGTATTAGGGACACGTTGAGCTGTAATACATATGTATTTGGCAGAATTTTTATTGATTTCGCTTTGCAGTCGATTTCACGTATGGGTTAAAGTACATACTTGTTAGGTACATGAAGCGATTATATATGGTCCTATCTTTACAGGGCTACAGTGCATACAAAAGCAGAACTACGAGTATCTAACATCCTTCCTTAAAAAATTGCTATATACACTTAATCGTACAAAACTAGGGTTAACAAAAGACTAAACTTGAATAATTTTTATCAGGTAGCAGGCCCTTGCGCATCAATTCATGACAATTAAAAGTTGAATTAAGTTCAAACAAAAATGAAAGCCTTTTTTTTTTTATTAATAAGGTTATTTACTATAGTACATAAGTGATTGTCATCGCCATATCGTCATTAATTAGTGGTAGTAAAGGACCACATATAAAGGAGTTCGTCAAGAAATATTAACAACTAAAAACCAGAGCCAGTTTTCTTAGGACTTTTTAAAAAATAAGAAAAAAATATTTTAAATATCAGAAACATCTGAATATTTTTCATTAGATCAGTTACATATTTTTCAAACTGTGCAGATCAGAAATATAAGGATGAACTCTTGTAGGTACCTAATTTGATGAGCTAAGTCCGGCACCAAAAGCTCTGTCGAATTTTTTAATCATTCGTTGGAGTCTCATAACTCATGATATACTCGATAGTCTTATAGGAGACCGTTCCCAATGGAACTCTATCTAACGGAAATCCCGTTGATGGTAATGACGTTGCTAGCCACTGGTTCCGGTTCGTAAACCTCGTCGTTAGTTCTCATTTCGTAGGGAGCATCGTAAAATTGTTCACTTGGGATCTGATCGTAGATGTTCTCTGTAAAATTAGGCACCAAAGGTATTTTATAGTTGATAGTGAAAGGGAATTCTATCATCCCACTTACCGGATCGGTTGTTGTTCAGTCTTTCATCACTAACCGCTGGGTAAGTAGAATTATTGCCGCGTCCATCAACACCATGGAACGTGTTGAATGTATTCGAGGTGTTGTTGTCCATGTGCATCCGGTTGTTGGCTTCCAGCGTGGAGTACGACATGACGGCAGCATTTCGCTCGTCCTTTGTCTCGGCCGCCTGCACGTTTTCCGTATTCTTCACAGGTCGTGCTTTGTTGCGGTAGAGAAATATGAAACCGAACAAGACCAGCAACGCCACAATGATAGTGGCTCCAATGCCAACTCCAGTGCTCAAGTTAGAGCTATCCTGCCCCTCAACGGTGACCAATTCGCATCGGGGCTGCTTGCCACTCCAAGCCCCGTCGTCGGTGCACTTGCGAAGGTATTGACCTATCCGGTTATAGTTCGGGATACAGTGGTACTCCGCAGTGCCTCCGTACAGGGTAGAGTCGTTGACCACAATTACTCGTCCATTCTCGATTGCTAGTGGACGTCCGCAATCGACAGCTAAATTAAAGTAACAAGGAACCCATTTAGTCATCCTTTTCATGTATAGAAGGGACTTTAATATGCGTATACTCACGTCTACATGTTGGATTCTTTCCGGCCCATTTTCCATTCTTCTGGCAGATGCGGGTGTCGTTTCCGACCATGATGCGGCCTTTGGCACACTTAAAGGTGGCCACAGATCCCACGGCTCGGGTTCCAGCCTCGACAATCAAATTCTCATTGATATTGGGCATGTCGCACATAACCTCAAGGCACTCGGGTGGCTCGTGACTCCAGTTTCCATGCTCCGTACACAGGCGGCGAGAAACTCCATTGAGTTTAAAGTTTATGTCGCATTCATAAAGCACTGCTGCTCCGTAGTAGGTAGCATTGTTGGCCAAGTTTGCTTTTCCGTTGGTGATGTTCTCCGGCGCCCCGCATTCCACATCTAACAAAAATAATTACATAGATAAGTGCGACTTGATTTTACTTGACCAACTTTTTTTAAAGAATATATTTAAAGACCTCCGTTTGGTACTTTTTTGCTTTTAGCGACAAGTTGCTTATGGCGACACAATTTTTATACCCTTGCAGAGGGTATTATAATTTTGGTCAAAAGTGTGCAACGCAGTGAAGGAGAGATCTCCGACCCTATAAAGTTTATATATTCTTGATCAAGATCACCACCTGAGTTGATATGAGCATGTCCGTCTGTCCGTCTGTTCGTCTGTCTGTCTGTTTCTACGCAAACTAGTCTCTCAGTTTAAAATCTATCGCCTTGAAACTTTGCACACACCCTTCTTTCCTCTGCACGCAGTATAAGTCGGAACGGCCCGGATCGGCCGACTATATCCTATAGCTGCCATATAACTGATTGATCGGAAATAGTACAACTTTGGTGTTTTTAAAGTTAGAGAGTTCAAATTTTACATGAGAGCTATTGGCTATTTGGCAAAACATTATGACAAGCCAAATTTTAGAAGGATGGGCCGACTATATCTTATAGCTGCCATATAACTGAACGATCGAAAATGACCCAACTTTCGTGTGTTTGAAGATAGAAAGCTGGACTTAGTACAGATTATATTTTTGGTCATTTAATCCGAACTACCAGTTTCATAACGATCGGCCTTATAGATATCTTATAGAAAATCTGTAAAATAAAATAAAGAAAAAAACGTTTGTTTTGCTCTATTTGGTTGGTGCGTCTTCGGACTTCGTCCGGTATATCGACATAAAATCGTCGGTCCTTCGAAAGTTGCTATAACCGGATTCTACTGTATGTATCATTCGAAAACAATAGTTTTCGCAAGAAATTTTGCGATTCAGATCTTCATAAATGTGGTTCATACCATCATTTATGATAGATGGTTGGACCATGTACACTCAGTGTCAATAAAGAACAGTTTTTTTTAAAGGAATTTAGTTGAATTATTATTATTTTTATACGGAATATCTTAAAGGCAATAAAATCCTCCAATATGCATTCAAGATTATAGTTTGTACTGTACTTACACACACACTCCGGAATTGTGCCGCTCCATTGACCATTGTCCATGCAAGTGGCTAGAGCTTCGCCCACCATTTTATACCCACGTTCACAGCGATACTTGGCCAGAGCACTAATTCTGTGTGAATTTAAAGAACAAATAATAAATTACTCAGGCCTACACCAAAACCTCGAGGCTCCCCTGAACCAGAGTCCAGAACATATATAGATTTCATCACTCACAGTTTCAATACACCTATTGTGTATATATTAAATTATGTAGGCCATGTAATTGCGTTGACCATGATTGTTTCAAGTACATATGTAATACAAGAACATATTAAAGATATGTAATAACTACTAAATTTTATAACGATCGACAGACTTTATCTTATAGCGGTCATATAACTGAACGATTGGAAATGGTATTTCGTATTTGGTAAAAATGCCAAGTTTCGTATTTTTGAAGATAGAAGCTTATGGGACCTATATTTTATTGAACTAAATTGATTTTATTATGATATTCTCATAATGATCGGCCAACTATATCCGTTTTTGACTGCAAGGTTATATTCAACTTCGGCTCCGCCCAAAGTTAGCTTTACTTTCTTGTTTAATTTGAGGTGGTATACATATTATACATTTAAAAAATAATATCTGCTAAAAACAAGAAAGGAAAGCTAACTCGGGCGGAGCCGAAGTTGAAATACCCTTGCACTTAAAACGGGATATATATCGCAAACATCGGATATAGTTGGCCGATCCTTATGAGAATATGATAATATAACCCAATTTATTATAATACAAAGCTAAAAAAAGTCCTAAACTTTTATCTTCAAAAATACCAAAGTTGGTATTTCTACCGAAAACCATATCCGATCGTTCAGTTATATGGGAGCAATAAGATATAGTCGGCCGATCCCGGCCGTTCCGACTTATATAGTGCATGCAAAGGATAGAAGGGTGTGTGAAATGTTTCAAGACGATAGCTTTAAAACTGAGCGACTAGTTCGTGTAAAAACAGACAGACAGACGGACAGACGGACATGCTCATATCATCTCAGGAGGTGATCCTGCTCATATCAACTTAGGAGGCGATCCTGATCAAGAATATATATACTTTATAGGGTCAGAGGTGTCTCCTTCACTGTGTGCAACGCACAAAATTATAATACCCTCTGCAAGGGTATAACAATGCTGGTCAACGCAATTAGACGACCTTCATAATTCATTATATAGTAAGATTTGATGAATTTCTTCTCTTAGGTGTTCCACGGAAACTGCGAGTGAAGGAAACTGCTATATTTGTTTTGGACTTGGGTTTGGTGGAGCCTAAAGGCTATGAAGCAGTTAAAAATATGCGTGGAGGAAAAAAAAAATTGAAAATTGTCGGCTTGCGTTATTCAAATTATTTGTTAAAAAGTGAAGCACCTAAAGAAGACAACATAAAACAGTGCGACAAAAAAAGAAAAAGTGAAGGAACTTTTGAAGAGACCTAGTAGGAATTGTTCATTAGGTCGAGTATGGTATAACACCGTGTTTGAAATTTTTCTAACACCCTCAAAATCTTGATTTATTTAGAAAAAACGGTTTTCGGGACTTTTTTGCTCCTAAAAATTCCTAAGCGCCTAATTTCAAACCGCATTTAAAATTTTAGACGTTTTTTAATAGTTAAATGTTGAATCTTTTGAAAAAAAAGATCTTGAACCTATTTCAACGAAGAGGATACAATTTTTACGCAAGAAACTGACATTTTTGAATTTTTGTCGTGTTTTTTATAGACTTTGACGCCATTTTTTCGGTACAATTTCTAAGAAGTGGTATCATTTTTGATACATATCAATATTTTCTCGTCAATTCTGAATAAAACGAGACCAATTTTATAAGGAAATTATGAAAATTGGTGAAGTTATAACGCTTTTCCCAAAACAAGTCAGTGCAATTTTACTAGCGCAGCGGAGTAAATGTGTGTAAAAGAAAGGAATAAGCGAAATGGAAGGGCACACTATTACTCCGGAACACTAGTAAAATTGCACTGACTTGTTTTGGGAAAAGCGTTATAACTTCACCAATTTTCATAATTTCCTTATGAAATTGGTCTCGTTTTATTCAGAATTGACGAGAAAATATTGATATGTATCAAAAATGAAATTGTACCGAAAAAATGGCGTCAAAGTCTGAAAAACACGACAAAAATTCAAAAATGTCAGTTTCTTGCGTAAAAATTGTATTCTCTTTGTTGAAATAGATTAAAGATATATTTTTTTTCAAAAGCTACAACATTTAACTATTCAAAAACGTCTAAAATTTTGAATTCGATTTAAAATTACGCTCTTAGGCATTTTTAGGAGCTAAAAAGTCCCAAAAAACCGTTTTTTCTAAATAAATCAAGATTTTGAGGGTGTTAGGAAAATTTCAAACACGGTTTTATACTATACTCGACCTAATGAACAATTCAAACTAGGTCTCTACAAAAGTTCCAAATCACTGTCGCACTGTGTAATTAATCGACTTACTTGTATGTTTGAGCTGTGTTTTGAGAAGATTCTGAGGTGCGGATAAGCGTGCGACCATACATGCGATCGTTGCCGGTTACGGAGAGCAAACTGTGAGCTGCTAGTTTAGGCTCCGGGCAGCGAATTTCTACATAGGAATTAAATAGGACATGGGATATTTTATGAAATGTAAAAGGCCATTTTCCCATAATCAATCCTACCTTCGCACTTCGGCGAGACGTCACTCCAGACACCCGACTCCAAGCATTGACGCTTCACTACGCCGCTGAGCTTATGGGACTGGCTGCAACTAAAGACCACCTCGGAGCCCACGTAGGTGCTGTTGGTCACATATTTGTGACCGCCATATGGGATGGGTAAGATCGGGCCGCAATCAATGTCTATAGAGAAAGTAAATTATATTGAAATAAGCACTAAATATAATAAGAGGAAGAGATAGCATTTCCTTAGACACTTATGTCGCCCAAGAAATAAATAAACGGGGGTGCCAAAAAAAAAAATTGTGTTTGTGTAAATAACAAAATGTCGACGTCAAACTATTTTCGCCTTTCCACAGAATTAAAAGTGATTTAGGCTAAAATAAAATGAACTATAAAACTTTATGGAAGTGGCGCTAGAGAAAGATTTGAATTTTTGCAAAATATTGACAACAAAATTAAAAAAGCCGGGAAGGAAATTGGAATGTACATTTGTGAAGCCCGTCTAAAAATGAGGCCCCATTTGGATGAATTTTTTTCCAAATATAAATTAGGCAAAAGACATAAAGGTATATGGGCTATTCCGGCAGATGGTCAACCAGGACCGAAAAAATAAATGTCCATATTCCTCGATTCTTTTTTTGTATTTTCACAAATAAATATTAAAAAAAAAAAAAAAAAAGCCCAAAAAGTAAAAAAATTTAATTTTCACCTTTTTTTTACATTTAAAGCAGTGGTCGGCACCACAATACATTGATATAATTTTACCGCATTAGTGTTAGTAACGAATAGCAGAAAGTAGGCTTTGAGCATGACGTTTCACACATTTATACTGTATGTGTGTGGCAGAGCTCGGGCAGAGAAATTTCCTATGCCCCCGAGATAGGGCCGTGCCGACCTCTGATTTAAAGACATTTTTATGTTTATTTATTTCTCAAGGAAAACATATGATGTGTTTGCTATTTTTGAACTAAATCTCTTAAAAACAATCTAATAAGACGAGACAAATTCGAAGAGAGCGAAAAAATGTTCAATTACCTCTTAATTTGTATTTTGATTCTTATCTATGTTCTAATCGTACGTTCGCGACCCAAAACATAATTTTATTGTAATTGATTCGCATTAAGTGAAAGCAGGTGGATGAAACTTATTGTGTTAAGCCATTATAGTGTAAACTATTAAAACTTTAAAAAAATTCAGACTTTTTCAAGAATATTTTTTTTATATTGAATTTTAAAGTGGCGTACGTTTTTTTTAAACAAGCTTATAAATATTTTTCTATGGATAAAAGAAGTGACAATTGAAATTAAATTAAGCTAAAATTAAAAATTTCAAAATAGAAATTGGTAAAACATGATTTTTTTAAGAAAATATAAATTTATTTATAAAAACAAAGAGGTAAACAAAAAAAAAACTTGTATATGGCAAAATCGTACGTTCGCGACCCGTACGTTCGCGATCCGTACTTCATTGACAAAAAATAGAATCTTTACTAAGTTTCAGCATTCTATCTTCAAATACACGAAAGTTGGGTCATTTTCGATCGTTCAGTTATATGGCAGCTATAAGATATGGTAAACCGATCCTTATGAAATTTGGCACGTCGTATTTTGCCAAAAGTAGCTCTCATGTTAAACTCTCTAACTTTAAAAACACCAAAGTTATACCATTTTCAAGTTTCAAAGTTCATTTTCATTTTCAAGTGCAAAGTTTCAAGTCGATAGTCTTAAACTAGTTCGCGTAGAAACACACAGACGGACAGACAGACGGACCGACGGAAAGACGGACATGCTCATATCAACTCAGGAGGTGATCCTGATCAAGAATATACATACTTTATAGGGTCGGAGATGTCTCCTTCACTGCGTTGCACACTTTTGACCAAAATTATAATACCCTCTGCAAGGGTATAACAAGAAAGGAAAGCAAACTTCGGGCGGAGCTGAAGTTGATATACCCTTGCATTTAAAACCGGATATATATCGTAAACATGGGATATAAATGGCCGATCCTTATGAGAATATGATAATATAACCCAATTTATTATAATACAAAATCTAAAAAAAGTCCCAAACTTCTTTCTTTAAAAATACTTAAGTTAATATTTCTACCAAAAACCATTTCCGATCGTTCAGTTATATGGCTATAGTTCAGCTATAGGATATAGTCGGCCGATCGTTATGAAATTTGATAGGTTTATTATTTTGCCAAAAATAGCTCTCATGTATTTGAACTCTCTAACTCTAAAAACACCGAAGTTATACCATTTCCGATCAATCAGTTATATTGCAGCCAGAGGATAGTGTGGAAAGAAGGGTGTGTGAAAATTTTCAAATCGATAGCTTTTAAACATCGAAAACGGACAGACGGACATTCTCATATCAACTCAGGAGGTGATCCTGATCAAGAATGAATATACTTTATAGGGTCGGAGATGTCTCCTTCACTGCGTTGCACATTTTTGGACAAAATTATAATACCCTCTGCAAGGGTATAAATATATATTTACAATTTAAAAAATATTAATTTAAAAAAAAATCGATAAATTTTATTAAAAAAAAATTCAAATTAAAAAAAAAAAGGACCTCTGCAAAACAAAAATTGAAGAAAACATATATATACTATAAAATATATACTAAGGCACGTTTGTGGCCCCTTGCAGGATGTTCAAACATTAAGTTGAACATAAAAAAAGCTAAAATAATGTTAAAACATTTAAAATATTAAAATTCAAATTAAATAATACTTTTACTAATTATTGAAAGAAAAAAATGTATTAACAAAATACAAGAACAATAATAGACATTTATACAGTCCACTAAAAATTATAATCGAAGGAAAGTAACATCAAAGTTATTAAAAAAAAAATATTAATCAAAAACACATCAAATTTACACCTCTTTTTGTGGCCCTTTCCAGAATTTTCAAGGATTGAACACTATTATATATACAAATTCTTAAGTTAGAGTTTCAAGGGATCGGACGCATGAAATAAGAGACAAACAGCATGGTCTATAACCGATCCCCTGAGCCTAACCGAACCGAGCGTAGCACAAGTACATATATAAGTGGTGCGATTATCGCACTCAAGAAAGGGTCGCATAGCATGTCAGCGAGCAGTGCGTTGATAAGTAGTTTTAAATAGATATAAGATTTTCATGTATCTTACTTATAAGAGAACATTACCAAATAAAATCAGTTTCCAAAAGGAACTCTTTGGAGTAAGACCTATTTATTTTAGGGCTCCTCTTAACATAGGTATTGCAAGAGTCTTTATGAAAAATCGTATAGCACGCAATACACTATGAGTGCTGGGTATAATAACTGAGTAAAAATAAATTCTAGCTTTCTTCAAACATTATGCCCGGTAATTTATATAACATACAGAAGGAATCATCTCCGATCGCATAAAGTACATACGAGGGCAGTCCGAAAAATACTACCGCCCGATGGCCGTGTAGTGTAGTGTAGTGTAGTGTAATCGGACACGTAATTTTGTTTTAACTGAGTATGGAATCGGACGGGTCCGCGGATTTTAGAAAAATGAAGAAAGAGCAATATCGGTCTGCGCAGCGATATCGCGCAGCGAAATCAAAGAGCGTTTGGATGCTGTGTAAGGTGACTCTTTTCCTTCGATGGCGACCGTAATATTTGTTCAACGAGTTTCAACGTGGTCGCAAGTCAGTTTTTCAGTGCCCCAAAAACGACTACCACGGCGGATAACGTGACAAAAATCCACGATCTCGTATTGGCACACCGCCGATTGAAGATGCGCTAGATAGCTGAGTCCTTCCCTGCATGAAATTTTGGCATAAAAAAGCTTTCGGAGCGATGGGTGCCGCGATTGCTCACTCCGGACAACAAACGCAGCCGTGAGACCACTTCAGATCATTGTTTGACGCTTTTTGAGCGCAATCCGAAGGATTTCTTGCGTTGTTTCGTGACCGTCGACGAAACATGGATACACTGGTACACACCAGAGACCAAGGAACAGCCGAAACAGTGGACGAACACCGGCGAACCTGCTCCGATGAAGGTGAAGACTGTCCCATTTGGCACGAAAGATGAGGGCCACCGTTTTTTGGAATTCACAAGTTGCAAAACTGTCACAGGGCTGTAGTGCCCCGAATTATTGTGCCGAGTTGTAGAAAATACGGCCCCATTTGGCGAAGACAAATACGGCTCTCAAAACAACGCACCGATTCACCAATCCGCCAAGGCCAAATAGGACGAATTGGGCTATGAACTGCTACCCCATCCATCATATTCCCCCGATTTGGCCCAGTGTGACTTATTTTTGTTTCCAGACTTGAAAAAGTTACTCGCTGGACAGAAATTTGCGTCGAATGAGGAGGTCGTCGCCGCCACAGAGACCTATTTTGAAGACCTCGAGAAAACGTATTTTTCAGACAGGTTAAAGATAGGGATGTCGGAAATATATCAAAATATCAATATATCGATATATTTTCTCTTAAAAAAAATATTATTATCGGAATATTTTTTGGGCAAAAATAGTCGATAATAATATTTTTGAGTTGGTATTTCCGATATTTTATGTTTGGTCACTCTTAAGCCAGAAATTGGCATTAAGTTATCTTATCACGCCTGGAAGATCGGTTCCATCTGAAAGGTTGGCTTCTGTCATTAAATGTGTTGTCTGTGACTCCCGTAGTCGAATGACATACCAGCATATAACCGAAAGAGTTTTTTTAAAATCATTGAAGAAAGATTTGTTTTGTAATTTAGAGTAATTAGGAGCATTAAATACGAGAATTAAGTAATTAGCATTATTTAGTACATATTTCATGAATTAATTAAGTTTTTTAAAACTTTTTTTTTTATATTATGTTTTTTTATAAATAAATTTGAATACTATGTCCTTAATAATTTAGTTATTTTTTATTTCAAAGAACGTAAATAAAAGTTGCTTGAGAGTGGGTATAAATATTTTTTGTTTTTCAATTCACTTTTTAAATAAAAAATAGCTCTTATTTGCAGTTCATGGCGGATGAAAACACATATTAAAACCTTTTTTTAAATTTACAAACCACCTTTTTTCAATTTTAGCTGACCATAAAAAATATCAAAAATACTCGATATATCGATTTTTTTTGGTGATATTTCTTAATATTATCGATTGATATTTTTTTCACAGCAAATATCATCAATACGATATTTTTTCA